GCCTGATTAAACAAATTAAGGCGACAAAATTAAGTTTGAAGACTAGTTCGCGCTTGGACATATACCATTATTATGTTTCTATGTTTCTCCCTACCTAGAGTGTTTACAAGGGAAAAAGTTAACCCGCCTGCCAGGGTAACCCTAGCACGCAGATAGGGTAACCCGCCTACCCGGGTAACCCTGGCTGCCTTGTAAACACGACGAAGAAAAAAGAGGAAATGTGTGAGTGCTAGGGTAACCCGCTTGCTGGGGGTAACCTGCTTGCTAGGGTAACCCTCGCTCCTTGTAAACAGGCCCTAAAAGGTCAAAGAGAGACTAATCGAGGGGAATGAAGCGCCGTTTTAAGGTGAAAATGTTTAAGTAGAAAACCGGCTTAGCAAAGGTAATGTGGGATATAGTAAAAAAGGAACGTGCAACAATTGTTTAACCGACAGCAACAATAAGAACAATAACTACAAAACCATATATATGTCACAATTATTTGGAGACTTTGTTTGTGACTCGTTTCTTTGGCCGTAAATAGACTGGTACCAAATTGAAACAAGATGAATGACAGGCACAGGGACATCCTTCGCCGCCATTGGTCCACGCTTAGGAGGGACCTGGAACCGATGAAGCTTCTACCTTATTTGATCAACGTGTTGGACGTCACGGATGAACAGGAAGTAAAGGTGAAAGCTACGAGAGAGGACAGGATTGACAAACTGTTAGAGATCCTACCTAGGAGAGGGCCTACTGCGTTTGATGACTTCGTGAAGGCATTGCAGGAAGTGCAGCCATTTTTGGCTGCTCCATTGGTTCAAGAATCAGGTATACAATGGTACAATAGTTTTGGGGCAGTTAAATCCGTTTTTCCAGTAAATCGCTTTGTAGAGCTCTATAGTTTTTTTCAGCTATCTTCTCGTTAAAGTCAGTCAAATTGAGATCAACATGGACACGTCACAAACGATTGTTTGAATTGATCTTCTATCGAGAGCGTTGTATACTTTTAACGCATGCTACATGATCTCGCTGCTAAGGCGTGTCAAGTACAGAGTGAGGCAGAATTTTGATGCAGTGCTACCTTTTCCCCGTGAAGTGTGATCAAATATTTTGAGGGGCGTCAAAATCAAGGTTAAACAAAATTACATCCCTTTCAAGGTCAGCCGCGAGTTACTAAATTTGCATAGATTAAAAACAACACTTGCACGTGCTGGTGATTGGTCAGGGAAAAATTCATTGATTTCTGTTGGTCATTTGCACGTGAACAGATAATACAACGGACGAGTTTCTCCCGCATTGCTGTTGTCCATTTAAAAATCACGTGATGAAATTATCCAGTATAAATTAGATGGCCATGCACGTGAATGGTCTTGACCAATCACGTGACACAAACTGTTACTCACTAACAAGCTTGTAGCTTGATGTGTCTCAGCCAGAATGAAAATAAAAGCGACATCGTGTAAAATTGACAGGTAGATATTAGAAAAAAAATCATCATCTTTGGAAATCTATAGTGGATAAGCAGTGAAACTTTTTTGATTACTTCTCTTCAAGAAATGGAAGAAATTAAGACGGAACTAAATCGTGCTCGAACACACAGTGCAAGGCTTCGAGAGGAAGTTCATCTTATGAGAACAAGTTTAGAAAAAGAGCAACAGAAACACAAAAAGACGCGTAAAGAACTTGAAGAACTAAAACGCCTCCATGAAACTCTAATGGCAAAGGGCGAGGAAGACAAGCAAAATATGCAGCTGAGGGTTGAAGAGCTAGAAACCATGATCAACCGACTGGAGGAGGAACTGTCAACCGAACGAAGCGACAAACTTGTCTTCACAGAGGAAACAGCACGGTTGAGAAAAATGTGCGATCAAATGGACCAGGAGTTACGTAGCTTTAAGGAAAGCTACGAAAAGGTCTCTGAAGAGAACAAAGCACTCGTGACAAAGTTGTCAAACTACAGAAACAATGTTGTGAACGAAACAGTTAACCGTGATGCGGTGGGCTTTATTTCACGACATGGGGAACACGAAGTGGTTGAAAAAATCCCGAATGTACTGTCTACTGGTATTCCTTTCATCAAGGATGAGGATTTGGAGATAAAACCTCAAATACAAAAGAGCAGTGACTCCTTTTCAGCTTAACTGTTGGATGAAACAAGGGAAGATTTGGCGAGAGTAACGAAAGAACACGAGGAATTGAAAGAAAGGTACGAGGACTTCGAGAAACAGCTCGAGGACACTCTGGCCAGTTTGGAAAGACAACGAAGCGCCAGTTTCCATGATAGAGCGACATCGCCAGGAGAACCAATACAGTTGGAGTTTGAAGGTAAGCGACAAACGAACGTGTGTGTCTAAGGGTGTTGTTGGGAAGTGGGAGATAGGGAGGGAGATTAACGAATCGAAAGTCAAGTCCTAAGCGAAAGCGCCACATTTTTGGGTGCATAGAACAGTGAAAAACAACAAGTTTACATGCATTTTAACGGGAACTGTGATGCTTCACTTTGCAGCGCTCGAAGTTACCTCGCTTCTAAAACTTTTAGCTGTTTTTTTGGACGGTCAGGAGCACTCTTCCTCATACTCCATCATCTCGTGGGATCGCCGGTTGAGTCAGAGCGCCCCTGTTTTGATGACAATGAAAAGGACGTGATAGCCCCAAAATTGTATCAGGCCCTAGTACTTTTTGGTCGGGAGCAAGAAAATTATAGCTTCCTCGTTCCCTTTTGACCGAGTACCTCCAAATCGATCAACCTCTGGTATATGCTGGCCCAGATGCCCTGCGAGTCCATGAGAAATTCAAGTTTTCTGGATTTTACCTCATGATTTGCTTTCGTTTTTTTTTTTTTTTAGAAAATCAAGGGTGTCCGCGATGTGAAGCACTGGAGCAAGAGAACAACTTGTTAACAACAGAGAAAGATGTCTACAAAGGAGAGAAAGAGAAATTCGAGAACGAAGTTTCCAAGTTAAACAAAGAAATAAAAGAGCTCAGATCGGACCAATTAAGAGAGAAAAAAAACCTTCAAAAGGAAATACAAAGTATGCGAGAAGAACACGAAAACTTGTCACGAGATTTCGAAAAGGAATTGCAAAAGATGATGCGTGACGTGAATGAACAACGAGAGTCGGAATTGAAAGCGTTACACGGGCAGAACGACGAATTGAACGATCAGATTAATAAGCTGAAGTCGGAAATCCAAAAGATAACGACGCAATTAAAGAAAGAGAAATCACAACAGGAGAAAAGTCAAGAAGATTTGGCTAAGGTAAAGAAAAATTTAGCGCGGGAAAAGAAGAAAGGTTAAAGCTAAGACAGACGCTTTGAAAGAACTGGCTAAACTAAAGAATGAACTTTGTAGTCAAGAGCACAAAAAATGCGAAGACATGGAGAGACTTCGCAAGGACTTCGCGGAGCGTTGCAAGTGCGACTTGTTGAGAGAAGAAATCCAAAGACTGAGGAGCATGACAGGGCGTAAGTTTCATTCTGTATATGAGTTATTATTGCCTGAGCATGAGATTAACAACATGGCTGGAAATTTAAGGACTGAATGGGGTTGATAGAATCTCAGTTATAAGATGCTATTTCAGCCAATTTTCAGTCTCAGATATGTACAAAGCGCGTCGTTTCTCAGCTGACGGTTAAAATCTTGACAAAATTGTCAGTTGTNATGGGGTTGATAGAATCTCAGTTATAAGATGCTATTTCAGCCAATTTTCAGTCTCAGATATGTACAAAGCGCGTCGTTTCTCAGCTGACGGTTAAAATCTTGACAAAATTGTCAGTTGTCGTTTAGACCACACCCACATCCTCGAAATTGCTCTCGACCGTTTTCTTCCAATAGCAGATTTGCACGTTGTCGTCCTTTGTCTACAAATACCAGAATTCCTTTTGATTTTTCTTTATCATTTAAATTTGGAATTCCCAGTACGATTTAAATAACAATTGCCCTAATTAGCACAAGAAACAGAAAAAGTGAAGGATTCTGGTAGTTGTAGTCAAATGACGCCATCATGCAAATCGCGTATTTATGGGTCGAGACACCAATTGGCCGATATCCAGAAACACACAATGAAAGAACGAGGCTAGTCTTCAGCATCTTGACCGAACAAGGTTGGTCAATAATGATGTACTATTTGGCACCCAGAACACAATTTTCTTGAGGGATAGATCAGCTGATCCCGAAGTGGCAACAATGCCCTAAAATATCTTCCCCTCTCGAGTAGCCAATCACACAGCAGGATTTAATTCATCCCGCTCGCTGAGTTCTAATCACGCACAGAACGAACAAGAAATTGTAAATAATGCACAAGGAGACGGAGAGCACTCGGGTCACGCGCGTGGACTCGAAAAGATCAGAAGTCACACGCGTGAAAAAACGCTTTTTATTAGGCGATTCAGTAGAAGGTATCGCCGCTTAGCTTGCGTTTTTTAATGATTTGAGAGTTGACAGTCCTTAGAGATTCCTGCGATATTTAACCCCCCTGATAGGCCTTTCCTGAGCTACCTTGTGCCTCTTTTCCAAAGGAGTCTTGGTGTAAAACCTTTCATAAGAAAACCAGTTTGATTTGCATGAAAATGAATCTGTGGGCGGAGTACATCTCCATGTGAATGG